GTACGGGCTGCCCGGAGACAGCCAGGCAGCAAGCGTTCGCTCCTGGCAACGGCCGCCGCCCGTGGTCTTGCAAAATCATTCAGGAGCTCCTTAAGCCCTTTGCTTACCGCAGGGCGGGGTCAAAATTTGGGAAAAAGCGGCGGAATTAAGTCACCGCCTCTGCTGTAGCGTCATGTATAAGGTCATGGCTGCTTATACATGTCCCGCTTGCCCCGGGGAGGGGGGCGAAACGTGAGCCAGGCCTCTCCCCCGGAAGGGTTCCTCGAAGGGCAGCTTCCCGAGGAGTAACGGCGGCCGAGGAATTCAAAACTTGATTTGGAGGGGGAAGAGGGGCAGGGGAGAAGAAAAGAAAGGGCACGGCAGAAAAAGCGCTTTCTTTCCAGATGCAGCGGCAGCAGACTCTCAGAGACGTTACTCTCCTGGCTCCACCAAGGTCTGCCCGTATTTCGGCTGCAAACAGGCCGGGAACTGCGATCTCGGCCCCGCCGGCACCCTGACACCACGAAGGGCAAAATGAGAGGGAAGGAGGGCTTAAGCTCGGTAAACCCGGCTTAGTGCGGTGCAGCAGAAGCACAAGCCTTCCTGCCGGCCATGACCATGCTGCTATTGGAGTTCTGGCAATGAACAGTGCAGAGAAAGGAGAAAGTGCATCAGAAAATTTACAGTTAAGCTCTCATTTTTCAACAAAAGAGTTAACAATGTTCGTGCTTTAAGTCACTCATGCATCGCTGCCGTCAACTCCATTCCAGAAGGAAACGGGAATGGCAGGGGCTTTGCTACCGCTTTTACATGCACACACATACAGGACTCCTTCCCCCCCCCCCCCAGCCCCCTGTAGGATACACTCCAAAAAATTGAAGCACTCAAAAGTCCCTTCCCCGATTGAAGTATTGTGCTGGTTCCACACTAGCCTTACTTTTCATTTTCTTTGCTATCAATCTCTTTTTTTTGGGTTTTTTTTGGTTTGGTTTGCTTTTTTTCTTCCCCCAATTCATTTAAAATCGTTTTTGGAGAAAATCCATTTGGCTGTAGTTCATGCCCATGCATTTCTAGTCATTCACAGGCATGCTCACTCCCATCGGACATTGGTAAGAACAAATGGCCAACATACAGAAACACCTGGTATACTCCATACACACTCCAGCAACACAAGCGTGGAAAGAAATCCCCGAGTCTTCACGGGAAAAGCACCCCACGGGGGCAAGCGCAGGGGAGTTCAGTGCAAAGCGGCTGGGTTTTAAGGCAGGAAAGTATGTGGCAGCTCATGTGGCTGGGATTGCTTGTCATTTCAGCTGTCAGCCTCCTCGCAGCAGCAGTCCTCCCCCACAGAGGCGGAAATAGGCAGAGGTCCTCCCCGAGTTAAAAACGTGCTTTTGATGGCTTTCCCCAATACAGGAGAAAACGACGAAAGCCATCGGGAACTGCATTAAAGAAACGGGCCGAGGGCTGCAAGGCTGCGCGTCCCCTTCCGCGTCACCCGCCCCGCGGCTCTGCCTTCGGCGACGATGCCGAGCCTTCCCGGCTTGCCTTCACGCCCGAGAGGAACGCGAGCTGCGCCTCAGAAAGGCCTCGCCGAGACATCTAGAAATGACCGCAGAAGTCACGCTGGTGTCAGGGCGGCCCCATCTTTCCCAAATTTAGGGAACAACATCTGCACCTGCGCGCTTCTAGGGTTGCCCGAGAAAACCAGAAAAAACATTGTGCCATTTGCTGATAAGGCAGGCCCCTGCTCTTCTGCCTGAACGCACCTACCTTTTCTCAGCGAATTCTAGCGCTGAAGGCAGAGTATCTCGGCCGAATTGGAGTAGGGCCGAAGAGCCTGTGCTGACCGCTCTCCCTACGCTCTGCCTCCGAGCGCTGCTAAAGCGGGACACCCTGCAACGGCACCCGCACGGTACGAAGCACTCGCTACGACCGGAATGACGGGGCTGGAGACTAAGAGGGGGGCGGACTCTGGCTTCCTTTCGGGCTGAGCCCCGGGTCCCTCCCGACTGCTCTCAGACACTTCTAAGCAAGCGAAGCGCCGGGCTGGTACTTCAAAGGAGCAGTCGGACCCTTACCACCTGAGTGAGCGCAACCGAGCAGGCCTGCAGGTAATTAAACTGTGCTACCATCTTCAGAGTCAGCTCTTCCAGGCTTTCCCCGTGGCTTAACGATCGGGTGATTAACGTTCTGCCTTCACCCGACTTTCCCGAGTGTTAGCGTAGTGCCGGATGAGACGTCACTTGGACTTTTATTGCCTTGCCGTGACTTCCACTGCAGTAGCCACAAAACTACCGATGTCGAATCCTGACCCTAAACACGCACAGGGAAGATCGGCAACGTATAGAAAACGGAAGTACGCCTGAAGGCTTCCAGTTCTTCCGTCGAGAGGGAAAACGCATCCAAGTAGGCAAGTTATTCGGGACGAGAACTGCAGGTCCCTCCACTTGATACCAGGGCATCCCTACTTAACCATCGCTTGCCTCAGTCCTCCCTCTACCACCGCCCGAGATACGCCTCGTGGGGCGCAGGCGGGACGAAGAGGCTGTTCTGCATTACAGAACTCTGTCAATAAACGAAGCAGTCGATTTATCGGAGTTAAAAGCGACTAAAATAGCAAACCCAAACATGGATTAGCCTTAATTAAAACTGTCAGAGGGTTTTGGTTCTTTAGCTGAAAAGCGAGCTCGTGCCAAAAACCGGTACGCTCAACTTCCAGTCTGAAGTGACTGTTTAGGCTCGCTTTGAAAATGTAGGAAGCTAAGGAAGCTGTCAAGCTGTTAGCTAGACTGCCTTGAGCAGATGAGGAGGGTTAGTTTGCTAGACTGCTACGCTGATAGGGAAAAGTGTTGCTATTTGTTTTCCAAATCTCCTTCTGCGGTGTAATAACGCAAACCGCACTGCTGACCTCCGAGGCGAGCGCTCCTCTGCGGGGCATCCCCCGAATACCAAACGCTGCCCCATGCCGGCGGACCCGCCGGACGCGCTGTCTTATAAACCCAAAATGAAAGAAAAACGGTCAAGGTTTCAAGCACCTCTTAAAAAATTCAATTTGAGTGCCCGTTTCTTTCTTTTTCATGCGTGAAGTGATTACCCCAGTAGTCGATACGAGTGGAGAATCACCCGCTTCCTCGGCACTGCTCGTACTCGTAATGCCGTTTCCACGGGGCTTGGGGGATCGGTGCTTGCCTGGCACTGGAACAACTGGCTGCGAAGCTCACAACAGAAATGACAAGACCAGACAGACTTTCCAGCCTTAAAAACTATGTTATGTTTATGAGATCGGTCCACCTGAAACACGGTTTTCCCTTGAAGACTACATTTCCCTTTTTTGCTTCCCCTTCCCAGGCTTGTCTTGCCACTCAGCAGCGCTGAGAAATAAGATAAACAGGAATGTGATACCAACCGTGAACTGCCGGTTCTGTCGTCGCCGTTGTGTCTACACACGGGAACAGAGGATTGGAGGAAGGGAAGAAACAGGAGGAACGGCATGCAAAAAAAGGGAAAATGGAAAAAATGGAACAGATAATATATGAGCAAGCTTTCAAAGAACATTGCGTGACAAGCAATAATAAAATGAAAGGCAAAAAGCATTTGAAGTGAGTTGCACTGTTTAGAAGACATGCCTCCAGTTCAAAAGCTATGAGCCTGAGGAAAACAGTAAATTTGTCTTTTTCCAGGACCTTGCCAGAACAATTACTGGTGGCTGCAAAGCCAGGGGAACAGGAGACGGGGGAGAACACCAACGCTTTACTTGCTAAGGACCAAAACAGAAGCTCCAGACCAGGGCAAAGAGCCGACACTTGGAAAAGAGTTTTTACGCATTCAAACATTGCCTGCACCAAAGCGCTAGGGGCCAGGGCCTGACCCGCTCCCACCTCTTCTCCTCCTTCGGCCAGCGCAGGGAACCTCCAAGCACGGCAGCACACGGCACGGCCTCTGAACCCAGGCCGTTTCAGAGGGGGCAAGCCAATGCTAAAAAAAAGAAGAGACTCCTAGAAATCACACGTCTCGTTCTGAAGGTGCGAGTGGCCCCTCTGCCCCAGCCACACCGAGCCACGCGCCTGTAAGATGCGTGGCCTTTTCCACGTAAAAAACATTGTTCGAGAATGGGCAAATGCAGGTAGACGTTACCAGTCCCTCCATCGCAACACTTAACTGGTTAACAGGTACTGGTGATTAAAAAATACTGGAGTTTTTTGGGTCGTTAGTCTGAAGCTAACTTTACCCCGTGTGCATTACGTGCCACGGGAAACCTGCTGGGAGTTGCCGCCTTGCCAACGGAGAGATTCTTCACAGGTGCTGGGCACAGGCGGCTTTAAAGACCGAACCAAATTTGCAGGCTTCTCCCGACAGCGTCCTGTGTTATTTCCTCTACACCAATAGGCCGAAAGGATATTTAGTCGCATTATCCAAAGCACCGGCTTTTCCCGTTAACTGAAACTCATTTGCTTTTCATCCGGCTCTACGCCGCCTCCTCTTGTTCCTGCGATGTCGGTTGCTTGCTTTAGCGGGCTGGCTCCTCGCAACAGAGCCGTACCTCCGCCGATCCCTACGGATACCCTCGGGCCGACCGCAAGGCCTAGGCGCGGCCATTCACGGCGAAGACGGGGTTTCGCGCAGCTCCCCTCGGTTCGATGCAGGCAATGTTTAAATGAATAAAATCGTATGAGTAAGTGTGGAGACGCGCTCTGCTGCGTGCTTCCGCAAAGCGGCCCGGAGCTCGCGTTTTGTAGCAACAACAGACAATTCACATTGGCGTCTCCCCTCGTGAACAGGCTGTCCGGAGAACCCCAGGACGGGTGGTCCTCCTGCACATTCAGAGGCAGCAGTGGAAAAAGGAGGACCCGTTCCTTTGCAATTTAGCTGGGGACAGCCCAGGTCTGAATTTCTGAAGCACCAGCGAAGACAAGAATCATACAAGGAATACACAATACTTACAGGTACAAGGTCTACATGCTTTAATTATGAAAGCAAAACAAATAAACCCTGCACAATTTAACAAACTGCACCAAGATTTGCATAACAGATTATCGAGCCGTCATGAGCCTGTTTCCACTCACTGCCAGCATATACTGTTCTCATCTTGGCAATCAAATCTAACGCACGCTTAAAGACGCTAGCACTTGTTCTCCTGCTGGGAGCTCTGGTGGAGGCTGCAAGGGAAGCCTTCCGAAGCAAAAAGGAGAACAAGAGCGGGGCTTTTCTTTGTTTTCGGGTGGCAATCCCCAAACGATGCCTCGCTTTAACCAAGCACAGGGTGAAGGGGAAAATGGTGGTGAAGGTGGGGGGAAAGCCGTTGTTTAGAAAGGATTGTAAAACTGAGTATTAATTCCTGAGATAGCATCTTGGCATCTATAAATAGTCTCAATTTACTGTCTTCCTGAAATAAAAAAATGTTACGTCAGCTTTTACGCTAAATAGAGAATCTGCTGAAAGCAAACTTGTATTCACGTGCTGGAAGAGATATTAGTCAAGGAACAGTGCGAACTGGACAGTGCATCTCGCTTCCCCGTCTGGGGACAGAGACCAACAGGTTACAAAAAATAAAAGTTCTCAAGCGGTTGTAAGTGCGAACAAATATCCAAGTCAAACAACATGTTGGCTGCGGCTGGAATGACAAAGTTATGATTAGCAAATGGTTTGGATGGTTGCAATAGGAAACACAGACCGGTTAAAGTTTAGAATGGGCTTTCGGGAAGTCCTTTTCAATCCCAGAGTCTTCTTCGAGAAGAAGGATGGTACACACACAGTGCTCCGAAGAGGAATAATCTCATGTTAAAGTAAAGCAAAGAATGCCCCCCCGACACAGGCACACTACCACAGCGGTTGCACGGCAAAGGAGAGAAAAACTGTCACCGTTGCTTTGGTATGAAACTAATGAACGCGTGTAGAACTGCGCGCGTACCACACCCCACCCCTGTCCTGCCTTACGTAGGAAGGAACATCCCCGGCCCTGCAATGCTGCTGCTAAGACGACCTATAATTGTAAGACGGGCCGGCTAACTTTAAACCTGCTTTCCTGAATTCCAGGCACGTGCCCTTGACTTCTACTTCACTTTCAAGAACAGCCATGTTTATATGCCAGACCAGACATACGGCACCCCAGAGATTAGGCTCCTGCCCCGCATCCTAGAAGAAAAATCATCTCTTCTCCTCAAATACGGACCAACAAGAAAGTCCTTGACACGGTTCTGACTTAACGAAGGTTGAACGAAGCCAACGGAAGGCTTTGCCATCACCAAAAAGCACCGTTCTGGTCCTGAGCCGTAGGTGTGAAGGGCAGTCACACAATCGCACGAAGCTGGTGCTCATCGTTTGAAATGACAAGTTGGTGCTGGAAAAAGGGCTGTTTTACAAGATGCGGCAGAGCAGAGGTCGTAGAAAGCACGTCAACAGAGAGGTACTTTCCATCTTAAGATAAAGGCTTCTCTTCCCCGTTCGAATCGGTCAGACAACAAAATTTGCTGTGGGGGGAGAAGTAAAACAACGCAATGGTCTTTCAAAATCTACGTGTACGTGAATTCACCGGAGGACTGGTTTATAATTAAAGAAGGTATCCAAGAAAGGAACCGTCGGCCTCTATCAAGCTGCACATTTTGCTTAATCGCGATTTCTTTTTAGCGCTGCTCACAAGAAGAGAGTTCAGCGCGGCCAGCTCTCGAATGAAGACACTAACACACATCGTCTTGCGATGCAGATGGTGTTATCTGCCAGCTAAGAAAAGTCGGACGACACCCAAGTTTTAGGCACTCAGCACTTCATTAGGTAGCTACGCAAGCGTGCGCGCACACACACAGATGTATATACACACACACATATTCATACAATTACCGCATGAAGGCATCTGGGCAACATTCACTTGAGTTGCGAGCTCCGACGCTAAGCCTCCTCATTTTTTCCAGTGGATTCTCTCCAGCCTCAAACTGTTTGCGGAGTGTGACAGACTGGGCCCTTTAAACTCGTCCGTAATTAGTCCACAGCCTCAAACAGAACGAGCACGATGGAGGAATATTAAAACCCCAGCAGCAAAATTCAATTCACCAACTTGAACGCTTGAGCTGCAGTGCTGCAGCCTTACAGGAGCACGTGATACGCTGGAGCTTAAAAACACGCAGCTATTGTAAAGAGAATCACAACAGCACATCATCAAAATAATGGCAAAATACACTTTTTTTTTTTTAAATTTAAAGAGGCATTAGCAAGTGTAGATATCCATTCAATATATTGCTTTTTAAACTCCTTTCTGAACTGAAAACAAAAGCCAATCTGATCACTGACCTGCAGAGCTCTTATTCTTCCTGATTTTCCAGGCTACTTCACATTTTCTGACCAGGGCGAGCATGAATTCCTTCACGTCGCTGTTTTCACAGCAGCCTTAGGGACCAGCGTGCAGTTCTACAAACGGGATTTCTGCTTTGTTTCAGGCCCTTAGGGCTAGCAAAAAGCCCCACAAAAATGCCCGTAATTCCCTCCCCCCCCGCCCCGAACAAACACCTGCGGGACCTGCTAAGGTCCCATTTCAGAGACGTCACATTTCAGTAACGTCACGGGAGAGCGGTCCGAGGGGCAAAGGGGCTCGAAAAACCCAGAGTGCAAAAGCACAGCAATCCCCTCCCTCGCTAGCTGCTCCTCAGAAGGCCGGATGAAAACGCACTTTGCATTATGACTCTCCATGATGATCCTCCGTAAAGCGATTCCAGCTTGCGCCGAAAGCTTTTGTGTACGGGCATGTTGCGATGCACCCCAGAGACAGTTTGATTTGCGGACCAGATGTTTTGCAAAAATAATCACAATCTGTATGGGAGTTGCGTGTGACAAGAAGAAAAACATTCCGGAATTAGCGCTGCGGCTCCGGCTATGCCTTTTCATCGTTTTCCATCAAGACCTGCGAGGACTTTGTTTTTATTTAAATCCCAACCTTGTGAACACCGTACCTGCCCACAGTTTCACGCGGAAGCCAACAACATGCCGTGCAGGCAGGGGTGTTCGCTCCCACCACCCTCCGCTGAAGCCGAAAAGACCGCGGGTTCGGACGGTGGCCCGCCACGCTGCCAGGCGTCGTACAAGCCCCGCGCAAGCCCTGACCTCTTCGGTGCTCTACCCGCAGCCAGCCCGCGTCGCCCGAGGGGGGACGGGTCCTCTGCCCAGCTCCCTCTGCCCTCGCTCTCCTAAACATACGCGTTTTCTGCCCAACGGAACGATGGTTTCTGCTAACGCTGGGTCACTGCCGGTAAGACCAGACGTGACAGCACCCTGTCTGCTACTGACTGGACGCGGTACGGAAAGACTGAATTGTATTTCATTTTCTGTTCCTTAACAGGCCTGTCAGCTACTCTCCCTTCCTTTAACGTGGTCACATCCTGGATGAAAATGTCAGAGGAGTGCAGTATCACCTTTAAATTAAGTTGACATTTTACCAGGGACAGGCAGAGGCTT